TTAATTGTCCCTTGGGTTCCTAATGGAACATAGGGTTTCAGTAGCACGTCTCCAGTGAGCTCTGTTCTCTGAAATCTTTTGAACCTGGCTCCACGACAGCCCACAACCTCTCATTTCCTCCTCGCACGATCTTCTCCATGTCACCCTCACCTCGAACGCCGAACTCGTCACTCCCCATCTGGGTTCCACTCGACAGCCTGGCCTGACGCGTGATGTCCCCAGTCGGTCTTCTCAATGCATCCTTAGTCCATCTCCACTTCCTTCCGCATATTTGTTGAGCGATAGGTTCTTGGTTGGTTCTTTGCCAGCTAGCCATAGTTCCTTGTTGCTTATTCTTATTATTCGGGACATCTGATCTTCAGTTACGAGCCAGCGTAAACAGTTGTTGATGAGTATCTGTAGTTTGTTGGAAATGCCTTTCGTAACGCACCAAGTCTCTGAGCCATACAGAAGTACTGACTTGACTGGATTGGTGTTGAAAATCCGGATATTGTTCACGCTTTATGCTGAGTGGAGTACAGAAGACCTCCACACTGATTTCAGATTAATGAACGCCTGTCTTGCATTTGCGATCCCGGTTTTGACATCCTCGTCTGTGCCGCCACCGCCTGTAGTTGGAACGATGCTGCCAACGTGGGTAGGTGAAAGAGACTACTTCCTCTAAGTTTCTCCCGTTGATGATGATTGGAGCTTGTTGTTGGTGGCATTGGTTGGGTATCTTCATCACCTCTGTCTTCTCTACGTTCACTTGAAGTCCCGTCTTCCTTTGCTGCCCAGCCTCTTCTATCAACTTGTTAGTTTTCGCTTGTAGATCTCCAAGTTTGTGTGACATTGGACACAAGTCATCGGTGAAATCCAAGTCTTCTAGGTTTTTTTCCGCGGTCCAGTGTATCCCCCTGTTTTCGCTCCTCACTGTTTGTTGCATGATTCAGTCCACCACAATCACGGTTATCATCGGTGATAGTAGATAGCCTTGTTTCACTCCTGTCTTCAATTCAAAAGCATCACTGAGCTGAGCTTTCCATTGTGAATTACTTGGCATGTGGCGTCTTCATATAGTTAGCTGTTGAATGAGGTTGATAAAGGTTTGTGGTATTCCGTAGTGTTGAGGCAGTTGCCAATTACTTGTCGGTCGACGCTGTGAAAAGTCTTTTCAAAGTCGATGAAGTTGAGGTAGAGTTGAGTTGACTGCCATTGTATGCTGTGTTCAATGATGATACGTAGCGTAGCGTTTTAATTTGGTCCGCGCATGATTTGTAGTTCCTGAATCCAGTCTGTTTGGGTAGTAGTTTTGAATCGAGCGCATGCTTTAGTGTCTCCAGGGTGATGTGGCTTAATAATTTGCTTGGGGTGGACAGGGGCATGATTCCATGCCAGTTCTTGCAAATACTTAGGTAGCCCATCTTCGGGAATTTGACAAGGTAACCCTTCTTCCAATCAATGGGCAGGTACCTTCCTTTCCTTCCAGCCCTTCTGCAATAGTAGTGTGAGCATGTCCGCTGTTGTCTCTGCGTCTGTTCTCAGTAACTCTGGCGGGATTCCATGTGGTCCTGATGCTTTTCCGCATTTCAGTAGCTTTATGGCGCTCAGGACTTCGACTTTTGTTGGGGGTTTGCGTTCACTGCTAGTTCTGTGGCTGCAGGTGGTATGTCTGGATGAATTGCAGGTGGTGGTAGTGGTCGATTCAAGAGCTTTTTGAAGTGGTCGGCCCACCGTTTCCTTTGTTTCTTTTCTTTGGTAGTTAAATTCCCGTCATCATCTTTTATTGGTTTCATCTGTTTTGATCTCTTCCCAGATAGTAACCTGGTTATTTGTTACAATGTTGTCAGGTCTCTCCTGCCTGCAGCCTGTTCTGTTTCACTTGCCAGTGTGTCATGGAAGTGTATTTTGTCTTTGCGTGCACTCTTCTTCACTTCTTTATCCAGTGTTTTATACACTGTGCTCAGGTCGTCTTCTCTTTGTGCATCCCAGCACTGGTTGATCTTCTGTTTCATCCTCCTCCTCTCCCTCCTCTATCAGCTCCCATGTGTTCATCGTGATACATTCCTTGTATTGCCTCCTCTTCTTCCGTACTAATACGATTATGCAGGTTTCTTTCCACGTCTCTTTCAGAGACTTCCAGCGTTCATCCACACCGGTTTCTTCAAGGATGTTGCTCGACATCTTCCAATTTGTCTTAATGGCTGACTTGAAGATGTCCCTTGTAGTTTCATCCTTCAGTTTCTGGATGTTGAACTTGAACTGTGGTCTATCACCAACTTCCTTGAACGCTTTTAACTTGATTTTGAAGGTTCCTTGCACTAGACAGTGAGTGGCGTGAGCCACAGACATCTGCTCCCCTTCTTTACCTTGTGTCAATAAGGCTGCGTCTCCACTTGCTTCACATTGAGATGAAGTCGATCTGATTTTTAGTGTGTCCATCTGGTGAAGTCCATGTCGCTATGTGGATATCCTTGTGCAAGAACATACTGCTTGACTCCAATCACCAAATCGTTGAATGCACAGAATTCTGCAAATAATTCTCCATTCTCGTTCATTTCACCTAGCGCTTCTCTTCCTGTATTGTCCGCTCCCAGTTTGGCAGTCATATCGCCCATTAGAATTTTGATGTCGCCAACTGAGGTCTTGTCCAGTGTTGATTGCAGTTATCTGTAGAATTCCTCCTTTTTCTCTTGATCTGCATTATTTGTAGGTGTGCAGTGTAGCATTGTATGATTGTGACCTTCCTTCCTTTTGAGTTGAACCTTGCTGTTATAATCCTGGAGGAGATTGGTTCCCATTGCATGAGAGCCTTTGATGCTGTTGGGGACATCATGATAGCCACTCCATAACTCAGTGTGCTCGTGGTTGTCGTCTGGGTGACCGGAGTAGATTATTGATTCTCCAGTTGGCAGTTTGGAGAGTCCACTCCCATTCCATCTGCTTTCGCAAATCCCAAGCACTTCGATGTGATACCTTCTCATCTCCTTTGCGATTTGGGCTGCCTTGCTGGGCTCAAACATCGTACGGACATTCCATGTCCCCACGTTTACTTTTGCTTTCATAGAGAGAGAGAAGACACATCGTCCAATATGCTTTTTGGAGGTTTTCACCAACCGGCGTCATTTTGCCTCTCTAATTCCAGCGAGGAATAATTTTGTTTTTGTTTTTTATATTTCATTTGTGCTTTGAAGTTTTTTTCTTGGTTGGACTTGTTTTACGAGGTGGGGTTGCTAGAGCCCTACGCCCAACCTTCTCTCTTTACCCGGGCTTAAGACCGGCTAGTAACTAGTGAACTAGTTAACCAGGCGAGGTTTTTCCACCCAGTAATCTATTCTATTTTATACCTTTAATCCAGTAGATTATGAAAATATTGAATGCTCGAAATATTTTATCTCCCTGGCTTTACTAACCTACGTAAATATTAAAACGCTGGACTAATTCGTTCTGAATTGTCTAAGGAATCATCAAATCGTTAAGTATGCTTGCGTATACTGATCAGACAGCAGGATAAAATAAAGACCAAGCATTGCTATCCCATCCATCCAGATCAACCTTGAACCAGGCATTACTGCGTAACGGCCCGAGTTACCACACCTCATATCAATACATCAAGTAAAAAGACAGTGAGGCGCAAGAGGGAGAAAAGAAAATTCAATCAAAAGAAATATAAAGTACTGAAAGAGAGGAAGGAAGAATGAGAAAATGGTGAGATTCGGTATAACGTCGTTAAGATGAGGATGGTGTATGTATACATCTACGTCACTGTCATAGGTTCTCAGCCATATCACCTAGAGTTTCCAGCCACTAGTTCCAAACATTGCTACCTCAAAAACTGATGACTGATTTTTATTTTAATCACTTATCACCCTAAAAATGGCATAGGTTAGCGTGTAAACATATGGATTGTTTGAATAAAGTAAAAGTGAACAGATTTATGTAACAACATGACCTCTCTCCTTTTTTGCACGTGTTCATCAGCTATTCACAAATAAAAATTTCATATCTTAGCTAAAACAAATGATGAGACAGATAATTCTGGGTTTATAAAAACAAAAGTTTTCAAACGGATAAAGATTCATGAGTAAGGGGTTTCTAAACAAATAATCAAAAATGAAGGATATTGGCTGGTAGTGGAATCCAGGATGCGCATTTTATCCTATTTGGGACTTGTCAACTGGGTGTGCCTGCCTCCCCATCAAGTGATGTTTTCCCCACCGGGATTCGAACTCAGAACCGATCGGTTCAAACACCAAAGCGTTATCCACTAGATCATCGGCAGGTACATTCAGCTGACTAGTCCCAAACAGGACGAAATGCGCATCCTGGATTCCATTACCACCCATTATCCACTATTACTACAACTAAAACACAGGTAATATCGAGGCATCTGTACAGGATCTCATATGCCAATAGAAACCTATCGATTCGTTCCAATCAACGACGATATAGTAAAAACAAACATACTAAAATAATTTTAAAAAAAAGTCGAAATAAATGTGATCTAAGCCTATCAAATAGAAAGGAAGGCATGATATAACCAAAATAACAATGAATTTGTCAAGAGGATGAAATGTATGTTGACATGAAATAAAACGCACTCGATTGTGGTCGTTATGATGTTGGTCAATGTTTAGGTGATCAGCAGGAAACCTCTGAACTTAGGTTTCATCCTCATTATCATCTACCCACAAGGGGTCGATACGCCAACCTCGATATTCGATGTTACCATCGAGCTATATCTTGCACTCATTGGTCACTAGTCATGTCATGATGTTGAATATTAGCAAGTATGAAAATTAGGTCGAAAACTTTCTACGCATCACCTTTAACATCATCGAAAAAAGTGGAATGTTGAGTTGTTGTTTTTTCTTCACATTAGCATCAAATTGACTAATTGAATCCGGTGAACATTTAGTTCTAGGCAATACGGTACTAATTGCACTTTACTGTCCAATCAGTGATCTCTTTTTTTATTTTCAATATTTTTGGCAAATTTTGTTTTCTTTTCAACTTCTCAGGTTGCTGCTATGTATCGTACTCGTATGGCAAGATTGATAACTTATGTACGTCGCCCAAATGTCAGTAAAGAGTCTGTTTGGAGTGCTGTTAAAAGTAAGGCGGATATTCTTCTGACACAAGCAAATCAGATGATAAAACCCACAGTAAGTTGATAGCTATTTTCGGTTATTCTTATAATGCATTTCTATTGAATGAGATGTAGAATTATTGTGTTTCTAATCTCTTTCTTGATGTTGTAAATCCATCTTATTTACAAGTGTGAATTTCTAATATTCTTCTCAGTTGTCTCGAATTACTCAACTCCGGATTGTTGTCACTTTTCTGACATCACTGATTTACTAGGGATAGATTTCATCATTTCAATTCACTTAACAGACTAGTCGATTGACTTAAATTGTATCCCATTTGTAACCATGATCTTAGTTAACATTGAATATTGAACGTTGAAAATGAGAGTATAAGAAAAATAAATATAACGTAATAATATCAAAGGTGATCAAGAAAGAATAATAAGTTTTGAAATTGACCTTGCTAATAGGATGAGTATTATCAGTGAGTTTAGCGTAAGGACAGGTTGTTTTTGAGTAGACATTGTAAGTTTCAATTCACATATGGCGAGCGCTTCATCAAGCTTATGTATTAACGTTTCTGAAAGATTCAATAATATGTTTTACCATAGATGAAGATAGTTATCTGCTACCTACCCTTATTTCGGTCAATAAATCTAGCCGTTTTTTGTTACTATTTCGCTACATATCTCACCACTTCCTGATGTATATCTCCACTAGTCCTCTTTATGTACGTGTTCGCATATGGAAGCTGGTAAACTCAACAAGGCATGACACAATCTTTTATGAAGCGTTGAAGTTTATGCTGTAATATATATTTGGTTCTGTTATCCCCTAGAAGTCCAACTGGATGACCTAGGCTTTCATTTTAAAATTGAGCGATAGCATTCCTCTATGTGTAGTAGTATGATGCCAACTCTTTTCTTTGGAATATAATATACAATATGCTTCAACACTGACTGATATCTACAGTGTTTTATAGATATCCATTTCCTATTATTGTTTCAACTAATATTTGGATTCCATCGTCCATTGAATGAAAGCTATAACAACTTAAGTATTGATTGCTCTGTTCAAGTTGGTTTCATGTAAATCAACCGTTTTATTTAAGCGTTATCACTACGACTCAAGAGTATATCCCATACACACCAGGTGGCTATCTTTTTCACATTTAAACTGATATGTTCTTGTACAATCGTAAGTCACTACTAACAAACAGTTAGTATTTCGATGCTTGTAATATATAACAAATACATCACCAATATATATCTTGTAAAGGGCAACTTTACTAATAAGATCACAAGTAGAAAATTTAAATATATAACATGCAGATGTTAGTCAGCAATAGTCTTAAAGAACTTCTCGTTGCCATACCATCGATTTGTCGAAAATTTTCCCTTTCAAAATGTCAAATGAACCTTATCAGTATACACCATAATCTCACCTTCTTCAGATACGTTGATGGGATACGGAAAACGAAATTACTGGAAGATATATATATATATATATATATATATATATATATATATATATATATATATGATCACAAAGAATTTTGATAGTCTTGGTGTTTTCATTTAAATATATAAATAATGTATGTGAAGATGACGCGAACCATAGCCATTGAGCACCGATCATGAAAAGTAAAGTTTGTAGGTATTTGGGTATATCGGATTTTAGACATAAACTGACATAATTTTAATGAGCTAGTATAAACTACTAGGGCACTGAGCAAATATATATTCTCAATTATGAAGCGCATAATTACAATTCCACACACAATGAAGCTTGTCAGCTACAGGTTTTGAAAAAAAACACACATCGTTTGGCCAGTTACTTGGAATATAATGGTTGACAACCACATACTTCAAGCGTTTGATGTTATCAATGAGCATATGTTTACAGTATGGACTTTCTTTAACCCTACAGACTCCTCAGAAGTTGCACAATTTGTTTTTATAAGTTACCTGACTTAAAGAGCGAACTCAATCTTAGGAATATGAGATCACGGTAGCGCAACATTTTTCAAAGTCATCCATGACTAATCTCAACAGGTTAATATTAATAAGTATAAACTGTAACATTTTAAAGTTCATATCACTTAATTCAGAGATAACTCACTTATAGAATATTTAGAAGGGACTTGTGCACATATTCTTGTCTCCGTCGGCATTACGACCCGAATAACTCAGTGGTAAATTCGCTGACTACAATACTATGTGGCGCAGGTTCAAATCTAAGGGGGTAAATCAATTCCGTCGAGGTTGCAGATACGCCTTGCTGACGAGTGCCAACAAGCACGAAACCTAAATCTAAGTATTCCTGTCGATTCCCTCCAACCAACTAACATCTACTAATGTGCATCGCGATGCTCAGTCCCCTAGATTGGTAGCTGTACTGCAAACGTGATTGATAGAATTCGGTACGCACTCAGGACTAAACAACATAAAGTTGATTACTCTCTCATAACCAATCAATGTATGCAACTCAGTCCTACAGGTGGTGAATCACCGCCCCAAATATCTCAGTGGTAAAATCGCTGACTATAACACTAGGTGATCCAGGTTTCAATCTGTATGTATGTCAATATTTCGCAATGTTAGTGTAGAATGTTACCAGTTAGAAGTTTACAACAGCATAAAGCCTGTCACAGTGTTACATCGATTCAAATACGATGATTAAACTCGCAAATTTTAAATCAGTTTAAAAAGATACATTTAACTTCATGTGTTACAAAACATCTAAATAGCCATCTACTTCTGTTCATTTCTTTTGAATCCCTAACAACTACTCTCAATCTCTAAATATCTGAGACACAAATAGATTAAGATTGAACTTGGAATAGAAGTGGATGTGTTCAAAGTGCTACGCTTTCTATCACAGTATGAAAATGAGAAATGGAGCAAAAAAGAATGATATTAATGCAATGTAAAGTGGCGCATATTAAGTTAACTATTCAACTTTCAGATAGTTAGCTGAACATTTAAATCCTGCTCTATTTTTTTGTTTTTGGCCTAGACAACCGAATAGCATCTAAACATTAAGTATAGCATACAGCCTTGTATGAAATCTTTACTATACTTATAGTTTTATTATTTTTTTTAAGTTGATAATTGCAAGAACACCAATTTTAACGCCTCAGCAATACCAAATCATGAACTTAAAACTTTCTCGTATTGTATTTGTTAAATTTTAAGATGTAACAGTCATGTGTATTGATAGTTTGTTTTTTTATTTATTTCATTGATGAAAAACTTGAAAGGAAAATACTATTCAAAGTAAAAATAATTCAGTAAAAACAGAGAAAAATATTATCTTATCAAAACATCATAAGTTGAAAAGACCGCATTCCCCTGAAGAAATCAATTTCAATATTCAATATTCAACACCTGATATTAGCAAAAAGACAAAATTGGAAATACCATCTACAAATCTTAAGTTATATTTTAAAAGCGAAAAACTTTCACCAGTGAAATCGGTTAGTCTATTTTTTTTTTTAATTTATTTTTATTGCGCATATTAATGATGAAATTATTTTCCTACTAAATAAGAACTAATTAGTATCTTTTATCTGTGATGATTGTGTTTCATAAGTTGGGAAGTTTAGTGCTATAATTATCTTTTTTTTTTTTACCGTTTACTAACTAACTTTATCCGTAGCACAGATAAGAAATCCGACTGTTCATCTAGAGATAAGTGTACTGTTTAGTAGCTTACAGTCTTCCACCCTACTCCTGTAAGACATGGACGTTGAAGGTGGATGACATCAAAAGCGTCTTCACTATCTTACTTACTGCATACGGAAGTCTAGAGTAAACGGATTTCTTATGAAAGATACATTTATTTTGCATGCTAAGCTTTCGTTTAATCTAACTTGGAATCTTATTTGAATTAATTTGACAGAATTATTATTATTTTTCCCTTGGGTTCCTAGTGGAACATAAGGTTTCAGTAGCACGCCTCCATTCCACTCTGTTCTCTTCAGTCTTTTGAACCTAGCTCCACAACAGCCCATAAGCTTTCATTTCTTCCTCACACCATCTCCTGCATGTCACCCTCGTCTCGGACGCCCAAATCATCGTTTCCCAGTTGGCTTCCACTCTAGGGCCTGGCTAGTCTGGTGCGTGATGCCCTCAATTGGCCTTCTCAATGTATGCCCAATCCATCTTCACTTCCTTCCGCATATTTGTTGAGCGATAGGTTCTTGGTTGGTTCGTTGCCAGGTAGCCGTAGTTCCTTGTTGCTTATTCTTATTATTCGGGACATCTGATCTTCAGTTACGAGCCAGCGTAAACAGTTGTTGATGAGTATCTGTAGTTTGTTGGAAATGCCTTTCGTAACGCACCAAGTCTCTGAGCCATACAGAAGTACTGACTTGACTGGATTGGTGTTGAAAATCCGGATCTTGTTCTTCGTGCTGAGTGAAAGCCTGTCTTGCATTTCCTATTCTGGTTTTGACATCCTCGTCTGTGCCGCCTGTAGTTGAAACGATGGGTGAAAGAGACTACTTCCTTTAGTTTTCTCTCGTTGATGGTGATTGGTGCTTGTTGTTGATGTTGTTATTGGTTGGGTATCTTCATCACCTGCGTCTTGTCTACATCCATTTGAAGTCCCGTTTTTGCAGCCTCTTCTGTCAACTTGTTAGTTTTCGCTTGTAGATCTTCAAGTTTGTACGACAAGACATTAGACATAAATCATCATAGGCGAAATCCAAATCTTCCAGGGTTGAAAGAGAATTAAGAATGATCAAATCAAAACATGACAACAGTATGTTGGACCATTCAGTTTTATGTGTAAGGAATTATAAGGTATCTAAATGAATTCTGTGGAAATGAGGTGGGATGACTTAATTTCAATCGTATAACGGGGAAACTTATTTAAATTGGTTACAATTACTCAGATATATATTTGTGTGTTTAAACGTTTAAACATTTACACTGATCATATTTTTCAACTTTCACATCACACTCTTTTTCGATCCACATGTTCTTTTTGAACTGGTATTAAGTGTGGGAACTGATGTCACTTCACTCGTGTGCAATATCCAACGCTGACGTTTTTAGTTAATCAATCATCCACCTGAGATGATGGAGAATATTTACAGCTCAAGAGAATAATTTTGGTTTTGTGTTCTCTAAGCTGAATTGTATAATCGTTAAGCTTTTACTGTCATTCTCGACAACTTCACCAAAAATTTCAGAAAGAAGTAAGCTATAGAGTTTTTTTACATAAGCGCTTTTTCAGCTTTTCCTGATAGCCTTGTATGTGGTTGGTTGTTTCTGTCAAACTCTTCCCACTGTCTGCATATTTATTTAAATTGGTTGTCCTGCTGACGAGAACTACGACTCTCTTTTTGTTTCTCATAGGTTGATAGATTGGGTCAATGGCTATATGTCTGTTGATTGCTGACTGACCTAAATACCAAGCTATTAAAAATTCTCTCATATTCTTTGTATTTCTTCTGTCAAGGATTTCCACATTTCCCTAGTCAAATTCATGTCAACAGCTGTCGGCGTGCATTGATATGAGCGAAGATATGTCATGACGCTTCACTGCTAGTTGATGTTCATGTAGACGGATGAGAAGAGGAATACCACTCCACCCGAAGTAGTGTCTTTCATGGTTTACTTTGTAGATTAATGTTTGGTTTATCTTCCTTGTTACTGCATCTTTTTACCTGCATAACTGAGGGTGAAGAGACTTTGTGGGCTTGTGAGATACATTGATTCCAAAAGGCTTTTAGAAAGCTATTTCATGACTTTTCCAGAAGAACGGCTATCCACACAACTTCATCCAAGGATGTTTACATGATTTATCGTCAACCAAGAAGTCAACCTCGGAAATCAATAAAAGGATTGTCCTACTCTACACGGAGAACGTCTCCGAGATCACAAATAGATTACTGAAGCCTTTTGGAATCGATGTATCTCACAAGCCCACGAAGTCTCCTCACCCTCTGTTATGCAGGTAAAAAGATGCAATAACAAGGAAGATAAACCAAATATTAATCTACAAAATAAACCATAAAAGACACTACATCGGATAGAGTGGTATCGCTCTTCTCATCCGTCTACATGAACATCAACTAGCAGTGAAGCGTCATGACATATCTTCGCTCATATCAATGCACACCGACAACTGTTGACATGAATTTGACTAGGGAAATGTGGAAATCCTTGACAGAAGAAATACAAAGAATATGAGAGAATTTTTAATAGCTTGGTATTTAGGTCAGTCAGCAATCAACAGACATATAGCCATTGACCCAATCTTTCAACCAATGAGAAACAAAAACAACAACGCGCGTCTTGGATTCCATGGCTAGTCACCAAGATGAATATGACATGATGGATATCCAGCAGTATCGACGCAACTGCATTGCAGCCTATCTGCCAACAGACGACGAGCAATACGACCCTGTATTATTATTATTATTATTATGACCTTTCACTTGGGTTCCTACTGGAACATAGAACCTCTAACTACTCTTCACTTCCTGCTTTTATGTAACTTTCACAAATATCTCCTAATTTTTGTTGAAGCTTAGTAGCTTATACATTGTTTGAAAGAAAGAACGGCATTGGGATCTGATAGACTGTTAGTCAAGGTATTTAATAACGTTGGTTGAGGTTTGTTGATTAAAGTGATTTGTGAAATAACTAGGTTATAGAAATCAGATATAATCCTCCCTATCTGACTAGTTTCAGTCATCATTTGAGCTAGTCTATAATAATTAGAAGGAATCTTATTGTGATGATGATGATTATTATTTTTCCCTTAGATTCCTAGTGGAAGATAGGGCTTCAGTAGCACGTGGCCATTTCACTCTCTTCTCTGGAGTCTTTCGAAGCTGGCTCCACCACTGCCCAAAACGTTTCACTTCTTCCTTACTCCATCTCCTTCATATCAGCCTCGGCTGGGATGCTCAACTTGTCGGCCTTGCCTGGCCTGGTGCATGATGTCCCCGAATGGTCTTACTGGTGTATGCCCCCATCCAATCGATCTCCACTTTCTTCTGCTTATTTGTTGGGAATGGGTTCTTGGTTGGTTAGTTGACAGGTCAGAGTTCCTTGTTGCTTATTCTTACTATTCTAGCCATCCATCTGATCTTCATTGTCAGTATTGAGTGAGCGTATGTGCCAGGTGTTAATGAATGTCTGTAGTTTGTTGGAGATGCGTTTGGTGACGCGCGAAGTGTATGAAGCATCACATGGAAGCACTGACTTGACTGACATTAGTGTTGACAATCTGGATGTTGTTCGTGGTTTATGTTGAGTGGAATGGAGTTGAGTTGAGTGGAGTGGAGTGTGGTGTAGTGGATCTCGACACTGATTTCAGATTGATGAAGGGAGGCGTGTGTTGCTGTTTTCCGATCCTGAGTTTTGACGTTTTCATGTGTGCCGCCGCCACCGCCACCTTTAGTTGAAACGTTGGTGCCAAGGTTGGTGATTAGGTAGGTAGGTAGTTGAGAGAGACAACATTTTTTAGATTTCTCTCATTGATGGTGATTGTTGCTTGTTGTTGTTGTTTTGGTAACTTTATCACCTGTGTCTTCTGTACGTTCAGCTGAAGAAAGTGGCGTTTTCGTTTGCTGCGTTACCTCTTTTACCAACTTGTTAGTATTTGCCTTTAGATCTTCGAGTTTGTGCGGCAAGACATTCAGCAACAACAACCACAAACAATCAACAACATACGACCAGGCATTACTGCTTAACTATCCGAGTTGCTGCTCCTCATATCATTATGTCAAGTTAAAAGACAGTAAAGTGGAAGATGAAGAAACGAAAATTCAGTCAAAAGAAATATAAAGTAGTAAAAGAGACAAAGGAAGAATGAGAAAATGGTGAGATTTGGTATAGCGTCGTTAAGATGAGTATAATGTGTGCATACATCTAATCCACTGACATTGGTTCTCAGCTATATCCCATAGAGTCTCCAGCCACTGGTTCCTCTTGTCCCGCCGACCCAAACCACGTAGTCTGCATCATCCAACATGGCTCAAACCAGCAGTCAGAGACTTCATGCATGGATGCCATGTTTTGGTCTGGCCGCCTAGGGCCTTTTTCCAGCCTGAACCTACTTCGGCCAACATTTTGTGACGATGGTATCAGCGACTATGCATACGTAACACGTGTTCCAATCATCTCAATCGATGAAGGTTCACAACCTCGTCAACTGACTTACCTTTTCTCCTTAAAACTCTTTACCTGACTTCTGTGTTACTCACGCGGTGACACCACGGAATACGGCGTATACTACGAAGGCAACAGTTGTCAAACACATTAAGCCTTCTCATGTTTTCCACCTTCAATGGCCATGTTTCATATCCATACAGTAGAACAGAGCGGACTGCTGTGCATTACATGTGACCCTTAATAGACAAACGGATATCATCACCGCTGCGCCATGTTGGCGTAAATTAGCAAAAACCAATCGAGCCTTTTGTATCCGTGCAGAGATTTCATAGGCAACTGACCA